AGACAGCCAGAGTAAAATATTTGCACCAAGTGGTGACTGCCATGTGTGAATAAATCACTACAGAAACACTACAAATGCTGTCAACCCCCCCCCTCCCATGCCATATGCTTGGTTTGATCAGAAACTCCCTCCGGTCAATCAGTCTATAGCTGTGCCCCAAGAATCCTGACTGCTTGTTTTAAATTCCTAGTTTTGGCACACATTGTCTGCATGAAGAACCTGACACAACATCAGGCATAGACAGTCATCACCTGATAACCGAAAGTTCAAGTGGTGATGACCCTCATATATGACCATACATACTCAGTGGCTAGGGAACCCTATGTGGCTCTTTGATCTGTCACCTGTGACTCTTCTGAGCACCATTCCTGAATGTGGCATCTTCCCCATGGCAAGTGGGCTAGTTCTTGCCCAGTGGGGCCTATGGTTAGCAGTTGGTTCCTACAGTGAAACAATTGCTGTGAGAGGAACAGATATGCTATGAGCCTCCCTAAGATGCAATCATCATACCTGGGATAGAAGTAAATGTGGCTTCTTTGGTCAACAGTCATTGTGAATGTGGCTCTTTATGAGCCACAGATATAATTTTCAAATGGTATCAACTAGCAACAATCCCTCCCTCCCCTTCTGCTAGTGGAACTGCCTTCCACTAGTGGAAAAGACAGGATCCAAGTAAATGCTTCCCAGGGAAATCACTTCACACATTCAGGTGGGCAAAGGAACAAGGAGACAAATCACCACTCACTTCCCCTTTCCTCATTTGCGACCACCAGTAAAGCCACAGTTGGGTGGTATAAATATACATAGCCAATTAGCTGTTGTTTTTTAATCTGCGGAGGGAAATTAAGGAAAATGTAGATAACACAGTCTTGTCTTTTTAGCAACATCTCTATCTGTTGGAAGCCTGCTATGAGGATACTCCTTGGCCCTAAAAAGGCTGTCTTTAGCCACTAGAAGGACATGGCAAAGTGGGGGACCAACTCCAGGATACGACAAATCCAGATATGACCCACTGGTGTCTGTTGCCTGTCCCTGAATCATAAAATGTAAAATATGATCACTGTTATTAAAAAGAACTTACAAAAAGGTGCTAATATCAAAAGAGATCATGTTTGAAATCAGCCATATATCCAGCACTGAATAGCAATTGTGGCTGAAAATATCCTGTAAGAATAATATTTGAACTAAGCATGTTTTCCAGGTTAGATTGTATAAATGTTTCACAATTTAATCCACTAAGATTCTACTACATTTCTTTTTAATTTTATCCAGCATGCTGGCGTCTATTCACAATGTTACTCTAAGGCAGCTTTTCATACTTATAAGCTCCTCAACATCTGTGTTGAGTTTTATTATGTGCGTAATTTCTCATCTCCTCCTCTTGACCATTTATACTTCCCTCAGTTGTAATTATAAGGTTTTCATTTATTTTAAAAGGGACTACTGTTCATTAGCTGCATGTGACAGTAAATATCATTTGGCCCGGATACACATTACACGTGTTAAGTACGTCAAACAAACTGGCAAAGTCTTAGACAGAACAGTGCAATCCTAAACAGAGTTACACCCTAGTAAGCTCATTGCAGTCAAAGAGTTTTGAAGGGTGTAGCTCTGCTGAGTATGGCACTGAACGTGACTGAATAGCACTTACTTGTGAGTGTTTTTAGAATAGGTGTGATTAAAGGAGATGCATACCTTAAGTTTTATATTCATAACAATATTGAAATTTTTTGAGCACTAGGTGTGACTCAGCCAAAGGCGTGCACACCACCCGCCACTGATTTCAGTTAAGAAGGCCACATTTCCATGCCCAGTAGAAAAGAGCAAGAGTCCAGGAGCACCTTAAAGACTAACAAAATTTGTGGCAGGGTATCTGAAGAAGTGAGCAGTGACTCATGAAAGCTCCTGTCCTGCAACAAATTTTGTTAGTTTTTAAGGTGCTCCTGGACTCTTGCTGTTTTCTGCTGCTACAGACAGACGAACACTGCTACCCATCTTGATCTATTCCCATGTCCACTTACTCAAGAATAAATTCCACTGAACTTAGTATAACTTACTTCTGAGCAAACAGTCAGAGTACTGGGATGTGTGGCTGTTTAGGTTCTAAAAACACTTTCCTAGGAGTGGTGGTGGAAAGCGCCATCAAATCACAGCTGACTTATGGTGACCCCATGCAGTTTTCAAGACAAGAGATGTTCAAAAGTGGTTTGCCATTGCCTGCCTCCACATCACAACCCTGGAATTCCTTGGAGGTCTCCCATCTAAATACTAGCCAGGGCTGACCCTGCTTACCTTCCCAGATCAGGCTAGCCTGGGCTATCCAGGTCAGGGCGTAAATCCCATTTAATGAAATGAAATTTGCTTTTGAGTAGACCCGTTCAGGCTCCCTAAGCATCTTCTATTTAAATCAATGGGACTAAAAAAGTTCTTAATTTTAATATGATTTTGCCTGTTGTTTTACTGCTGTCTGTCTCCATTTTAACACACTGACATATTTAAGTGATGTTTTAAAGAATATTTTATTTATGCACATTTGTATTTTAAATGGTTATTTGCACTCAGCAAGAGACATTGGGTTTTTCAGAAGTTCAATAATGTAAAGAGTAGGACATATGAAATTATTTAAAACTTGCTTTGGGGACCAAGTACAGCGACGTGTTTATGAAGTTAAGCTGTGTATAGTTAATAGCAAGGGTATTTGAAAAACAGCTGGGCATATCATATGATTGAAAAGATACTCCAGTAGAAAGTGAAATGAGATGTTTGCTGGGATTTTAAAGTATTAGATGTGAGACAGAAAGACTGGAGGTTGTTGTTTTTCTTATAGATGTTTCAATAGGCTTTTCTGAGACATTTGTAATCCAAATATTTAGGCCAACCTAATATGTACTGGGTGTTTGAAGAAAACGCATCTTAAAAAATATCTGCTGTGTCAAAAAAAAATATGTAGCATCTAGATGTAATACCAGGATGGCTACAGACCAGCATTATTCTCCTTGTTACCTTCAGTTCTTTGCGGCCTGAAGCAATCAATCCTTGTTGAAATACTGAAATTATAGCTGCTTGCTAATTCAATGTTCTTTATTACATAATAGTTTAGTCATTCATTTACCTTTTAAATAAGTCTACATAGTACAAAAAGTAAGACGATGCTTTCTGAGAAATGCGAAAGAAGGGGGAGTTTCACTTAGACAATGGATAGCAGGGTTTTACTTGGAACTCGATCTCCCATTGTTGAGTAGAAAAGGACAATGAGTTGACTGACCCCAGTTCAAGTTACAGTATTGAACAATTTTTTTTCAGTTAGTAATACAGATGATAGTACATAGATGGTCAGATTAAACTAGAATCATGGCACCCAAATTCCAAACATATGTTCCATTTGATGGAATGAACCTTACTTCAAAATAAATTCCATAGAAGTCAACGGTACATATTTCCACTCGTGCGTCTTTGTTTTGGGGTATTTGTGTTTACTTACAACTAACTTAAGCTTTTCCAGTAGGATCTTCCAAACTTATTTCTGCACCAAAATACCACCTAATGGGAGGGATAAACTGTATAAACATTGTATACAGATTTATTCATGCAAGTACCAAATGGTCTGGTCATTCGTGTAAACAGAAAAACTCTGTGTGTGTGTTTGCGTGTGTGTGATTACAGTGACAACTTAGTGGAACTGCAGAAATAAATATGGGGTATACTGTTTGTTTCTTTCTCAGAATGTCTTTTCAAGGTTGCAAACCAAAGTTATTTGGATTACTTTCATTATTACAAAATCTGAGCAATGTCTTCAGGCTACTAAACTGATTCAATTTTTTTTAAATCTGCAAAACCATATGAGTCCACTTTCCCTTAAAACATACTGAGTTTAAAGTAATATTTAATAATCTTTTTTTGTTGTACTATTTCTTATTTGATGGTTACTTTGGGAAAATGGAATACAACATGTAATGGGAAAATCAGGAAAAACACTACAACAACATAATGTCTAAATCTGAAGCCCCTTTGAGTTTAAGGCCCAAGCCAAACATCATTCCTAGCCACCCATCTGACTGCCCCTGGTCTTCCCAGCTCCTTGTCTGCCACTTCAACCACTACACCACACTGGAACTAGTCATCCTATAGAGTTCTTCGGGGGGGAAGATCTTTGGTAGGCATGTGTTAGAGCAGGACTCAATGGCTGAGGAGGCTGCAGGAATCTTGGAAGCAAAAGAGATGGACTAGGGTACAAATGGTTGGAGCTTCAGGGACATTGAGGTGTGTGTGTTGTCATGAGCACCATGATGCCACTTGTAGGAAAACCTGGAAGTAATGTTGAGTAGCTCTAGGAATCATTAGAAGCTGCAGAGTTTCTAGCGATTCCTAGAGCTACCCAATGCCACTTCCCAGTTTTCCCTGGAAGTGACATTGCAGCAAACCTGACACAATTTTTTATTATTATTTTCCCACTGCCACTTGGAGGTTAGGGGACACCGCAGGTTCAGGAAACAGAAAAAGAAAGCAGGCGGGGGGGGGGGAATCAGAAAGTGTAGTGGCTTTGCTTAGAAATTATTAGCGCAGACTAAGGGAATGCAGCGGACCTTAGATGTCAAGGACTAGCTCCATGAAATCTCCTCATTTCCAGTACCAGAAGGATTCTGTGTGGTGCTTTTATCCTGTCTTGGATGGCTGGCAATACTCTCTGCCAACCAGCAATGGAATACAGCACACAAGCATTGCAATGACACTCTCTCATCTGTCTATCAGAGGTTCGGTCATTGGGTACAGGTTCATATCAATCAATATCATTTGTCCTTAGTCATTACTGTATGCCTTTTGGATCTCCATAAAACTACAACAACAATTGCAAAAATCGTCAGTCACTGAACCACAAGACCGTTCAGCAGTCAATGAGAAAAAAATATTTAATGTGACTGTAGATGTCAGCCATACCCACAAAATTCAAAAACATGCTGTATCAAGTCATTCAAATAAAGGCATGAGAACATTGGTTTTACCTGCTGTCAGAGGTAGTGTCATTTTCCAGCTGTTGAATGAGAAGTTTAGCTATGGCAGTGAAACTGTTACTCATACGATAAATATCTCTGCTCTGGATGCCCAAGATATTGGAGAAGGTGTCTGTGATGTGCTTAATCTCCAGCAGAAGGATATGATGGAATGAATGTTCCATGTTAGCTAGCTGATTAACCAAGTAGATCAGGCATATTCGGGCTCTCTCCTAAGTATTAAGAAGGGATGGTGTTGAAAGTAGAAGCCATTATTTTAAAATGCACATCAATTGCGATCATGTTACCAAAAGAAAGTTACAAATCACAACATTGCTACAGTATTTGTTTTAGGACCACTAGGAAAATTTCACTTTTAAGGGCACACATTAACCCCCCCCCCCCCAAAAAAAGAAACACTGACAGGTCCACCCAGGACATAAAAATACTAGAGAGGCAAAATAATTTTTAAGTAGCACACCATTTACAAAATGGGGTACAGCTGCAGTATCTGCCATACAGTGACTGGAAGGCATCTATTTTTTAATATGATATGTTTGTAGTGTCTTTGTAGTTTGGATTGGAAGAAGAAGGCAAGGAGACTGCAATAGTAGAAACAGACACAAGTATGTACATATGTAAGTGCTGTCAAGGAGCTGCGGTGGCTCAAGTGGTTAAGACGCTGAACTGCAGGCTGTGGAAGGTCGGTAGTTCAGCAGTTTGAGACCCGGGTTGCCACATGACGGAGTGAGCTCCCATCTCTAGTTCCAGCTCCTGCCAACCTAGCAGTTCGAAAGCAAGAAATTGCAAGTAGATAAATAGGTACCACTTTGGTGGGAAGGTAACAGTGTTCCGTGCGCCTTGGTGTTTAGTCATGTCGGCCACATGACCATGGAAACGTCTTCGGACAGCGCTGGCTCTTCGGCTTTGAAACGGAGATGAGCACCGCAACCCTAGAGTCGAACTCGACTGACTTTCGAGCAAGGGAACCTTTACCTTTACCTTTAAGTGCTGTCAAGTTGCAACCTACTTATGGCAACCCCAGCAAGGGGCTGTCAAGGCAAATGAGAAGCAGAGGTGGTTTGCCATTGCCCTCCTCTGCAGAGTGGTTGTCTCTTATCCAAGTACCAACCCTGCTAAGTTTCCAAGATCTGATGAGACTGGGCTGTACTATGCTGCCTTCCCTCCTGCCTGCCACTTCATAAAAATGAAAATAGGGGAACCACTGAATACTGCAGGGTTTATTCCTAAACAGAGTATACAACATTACAGCCTAAATGCCCTCTCCATAGTCTGCTGTAGGGATGAACACACATATACATTTTCGGGTGCCTTAATGTTTAAGGAACCATGCTTCATCCTTCCCAGAGGCTGCAGTCCTAAGAACACTTTCCTGGGAGGAAGCCCCACAGAATTCAATGGGACTAGCTTCTGACTACTGCTCCCTATGTTCTGTCTACATTCAAATTTCAGGGGGATTTATAAATGCTAGTATCATGTTTGCTTCATTTTTATATAAATGTATTCTTTTATGTGGCATCTACTTCAAAGAGGTGAGAACAAGGCATTAGCCTTTGTTGTTTCATTTTTCTTCTCTATAGAAAACTAAAAGGAACAATAATCTTTGTAAATCAATGGGCCTGAACAAGCTCTTTCTTCTCTGTCATTGTCAATGAACATTATTTCATTGAAATTAAATCATCATTTCCCACTCAGAATGAATGTTTCCATGACATTCCTCTCTCTCTCTCTCTCTCTCTCTATGTAGAGATCTACTCCTTTATTTTGTCAAAATAACCTAGTTCAATTTATAATTGCTTTTGGTATTTGGCAAACTTTATTTCAAAGGCCATTATTAAAGATTTTTAATTTGGCGACATGACCAGATTGTCTTTGCTTTAATTTGTAGTTACAACTAATGAGTGATTGTCAGAATTTCGATTTCATCAACAAATCTGCATTGTTGAATGCAAAGGAGAGATGACAAGGATTGAAGTTATATAAAGTTGAGTGGAAGCTGTCCTGAGCCTGCTTTGCAGGAAGGGCGGGGTATAAATGAGACAAATAAATAAATAAATAATGTCATTGGTAATTGCCACTAAAATATTGTATAGGAGAGACACCTAGTCTTATGGTTTATTTGTCACTTACATACTTATTTGTCACTATAAAATTGATGAAGAAAATTAAAGGTGTTGCTGTATGAGACTGATGTCTACATTATGATACAGTTAATTATGGCATACTATAGAACAGAATATGTTAAAATAGAATATGTTGAAATACTATTACAGATCACAAGGACAGATGTGCAGCACTTTGAGCCACTCAAGGATGCCAAAGAAAATTGCCAGTTACTACAACAAAAAACACCTGGAAGGGGACCACCACCCAGGACACAAATGAAATACAGTAATTAAAAAAAACACCACATTTAACATGAATATTTAAATTGAACTGATATACTCATTAATTTTTCAGTTAACATCTATTGGAGCCATTCTATTCTTTATCATCTATAGATGGAATTAGCAGTAGTTTGGTGGAGAGAGCCAGTTTGGTGTAGTGGTTAAGTGCACAGACTCTAATCTGGGAGAACCGGGTTTGATTCCCCACTCCTCCACTTGCAGCTGCTGGATGACCTTGAGCAAGCCATAGTTCTGTCAGAAAGAGCAGATCTGTCGCCCACCTACCTCACAGGGTGTCTGTTGTGGGGAGGGGAAGGGAAAGAAGTCTGTAAACTGCTCTGTGACTCTGAGTGAAGGGCAGGGTATAAATCCAATCTCCTCCTCCTCCTCCTCCTCCTCCTCCTCCTCTTCTTGTACAAATATGCTTCAAGTGCAGAACATTTATTTATTTATTGTGTTTATCTGCCTTCACTAAACAGGGTTCCCAAGTTCAATCCATGTATATAGTAAGATGTTTTGCCCCAAAGGGCCACTCAAGAAGCTAGGGTTTTTTTTTTGGGGGGGGGGGACCAAGTTTAGGAACAGGTAAGGGACAGGAATAAAAATATTTCACCTACATTCAACCTGTAAATAAGGCAAGACACCCAACTGTGGATACAGATTGCAGTGCTGGTACAGGTATGTGGTGTACTGGTTTTGAGTACTGTACTAGGCCTCGGGAGACCCAGTGTCAAATCCCAGCTCAGCATGAAATGCAGTGGATGACCTTGGGCAAGTCAGGGGGTTGTTGTGAGGATAAATAACAGATGAAGGGAGAATCTTATATGTCACCATGAGCTCTTGGAAGAAAGGTCTGATAAAAATATAATATGAAAAGAAAATGGATTCTAGTAAAATGGGCAAAATATGTGGAACTGCTGATATTCAGTGCCTGGAAACGACGACACAATATAGTGATTCTGAATTAAGTGCAGGCAGGAGAATCCTTGCATCTAGGAGGCAGCTAACACATTTGGAAAGTCATGATTGTATCCTCCCTCTTCTCGTTTTTACTTAAGGCTAGACAGATGAAGACATAAACAAGGGCTTAATTGGTGTTTACAGAAGAATTTTGTTTCCCAAAGAAAAGTTTGCTGGAGATACAAATGGGAAAAGAAGTTTCTATCAGACTTTTCCAAGTTTTGATTCATCTGGCAGGAATCCAAGTGCAGAAATTTTGCTACTCATCTAGAATATTGTCAAGGAATCATAAACTGTGCTGTTATAGGATATGTGGCTAATATGCAAAAAGAGAAAGACGCCAAACCTAAACCCTGAGCCCTTCTAGCAACACCCACCCCCTTCACTTAAAAGCAATAATTATCCTTGGCATAACTAAGATCAAAAGTTTCTGGTGAAAGTGTTTTTTGCATTTTTACCATTGTTATTATAGGCTTGGGTAGGGGGGTTGTATGTTTATGTTCCTTATGGGTAATAGCTTTACATTTTTATGGTATACAATTATATTAGTTGACAGGGGAACAATGTTAACATAAAGAGTTGCAACAGTTTAAAGCATTTTATTTTGCTTCATCAAAGAGTGTAAGGAAACAGCAGAGGAAAATATGGAGTGATTCTAGATTTATCTTGGCAAAGGGATCACTCGTATCAAGGTAAATAATCAGTACATTATAAAGGGCTTCTGATTTTTTTTTCCTTTGGAGAAGTTATTTAACAGGCACAGCATTGTGTTAAGATTTCTGCAAGGACTCCTACAAAAGTCAATCAGAAGTTTGCACTTAGCCTAGGAGCAAAACCTGAGCCAAAACAGGCACAAAGGATCTTTTTTTCTTTTTGCCAGATTGCTTGCCTTTTTGAAAGGGTCAACCCAAGGCCAGCTGTACTGCATAAGCACTGAAACCAAGTAGCAGGCAATCTGACAGTTGTGCCCAATGTCCTTTGCAAAGGATCGCAAAGGATAGATCATCCAACCCAAATTCATACAACAGAAAACCTTCTTGGGCCAGCCCAGGGTCAAGTTATAGCTTGCAAGGCAAAAAACCCACCAAATTTTCATTCAGTACAAATATTTAATGTACTGTAAACTATGTTCTGGGTAAATTTCTACCTTAACATCTTGTGCAGCAATCTTTCAAGCCAATGGTACTCAAGTCGGTGGGTTGCGGAGAGCTACGTTCACAATTACCATCAACCAAAAGAACCACATTTAGGGTGTGGTCACATGCACGAGATAAAACGGGGTGGGGGGAGTGAGGCTATTTCCTCTGGAGGAATTTGACCTGCAGTTGCGTGATCACTGTGAGGAATTTCAGACAGACAATATAATCTGGAAGAGGAATGGTTTCCAAATGGTTTCTGGTCTGTCATTTCAGACAGAACCAATTTAGAACGGTTCCCTACCGGAATATATTTGTAATTTCACACACAAACGCTTCTGTCCCATTTAGAAAATGGGGCTGAAGCGTTTTACCTGTCAACCACTTCCAAGTAGTCTTCAGTTTCCTCTCCCAGTCCCAATGCTCTTTTTCCCGCTGTTTTTCGCCCACACGGGCAATCCCCGGCTTTTTTTTGGAATGGTCGCTTTATAGCGCTATAGCGCTATAACGCTATAATGCAACAGTATTATATCAGCCCCATTGGAATGCCTGGAGTGTTGTGTTGTAGCACTATATTTATTTATTTATTTATTATTCACATTTCTATCCTGCCCTCCCCGGAGGCTCAGGGCGGCTTACAGGGCGTATCGCCAGATAAAACAGTAAAACAATACCAAATAGTAAAATACATCACCATTAAACCAATTTTAACGCTCTAAAGCGAACGTT